CTCAGTAGAGCACTCGTTGCGATCATCATCATCATCATCAGCCTGACTATGTCCACTGCAGGACAAAGGCCTCTCCCATGTTCCGCCAGTTAACCCGGTCCTGTGCTTGCTGCTGCCAATTTATATCCGCAAACTTCTTAATCTCATCTGCCCACCTAACCTTCTGTCTCCTCCTAACCCGCTTGCCTTCTCTGGGAATCCAGTTAGTTACCCTTAACGACCAGCGGTAATCCTGTCTACGCGCTACATGCGCGACCCATGTCCATTTCTTCTTCTTCATTTCAGCTATGATATCCTTAACACCCGTTTGTTCCCTAATCCACTCTGCTCTCTTCTTGTCTCTTAAGGTTACACCTACCATTTTTCTTTCCATTGCTCGCTGCGTCGCCCTCGATTTGCGATCAGCCGTAGGCAAAACGCAGTCCCCAAAAAGACACAGGCCTCCAGCTGCCTCCGAGGAAATCTGGAGTCAGGCAAAGCGTTAGGAGGCTTCCACCCCTGGATCAAATTCTCATCGTCCTGTTTTCAAGGGACATAGAGTGAAATGTACGAGTAGGTTTTACTGGAATCCCAGGATTGCGAACTGACCCGAGAGGATTTAATGCCCAAACTTTCACGCACATCATGGCCGAAACCAAAAGCATGTTCAGACTCGCCGCTTGACTATCAGTACACTGGAAGCAACGAGATTAAGACATGCTTCTAAAGATATATCATGCTTCCATAATAAGGCACAATAACTATAGCCTCTGCCATTACCTTACAAAAAGAAAAAAAAGTACCTAGCAAAAATGGCAGCATATTCGTGGAGAGAATGATGGAGAGTGGGGCGAAGCATCCGTCCGTCCATTCGTTCTTGCTTCTCACCATTCATGCGTCTGTCTGTGTGACCGTCCGTGCGTTCATTCGCCCATCCGTGCGTGCGTCTGTTCGTGCGACCGCACGTCCACATGTGTGTTCCTTCCTGCGTTCGTCCATGAATCCGCCCCTGCGTCCATCCATGCGTCCATCCGTCGGTACAGCCATCCGTGAGTCCGTCCATGCACCTGTCTGTGTGTCCGTTCTTCCATCAATTCAACACTCCAAGTACCACCATCTTTTCTCGCATCTTTTCATCATATATTCCTCATATGCACAGCCATGCAGCGGAAAATCCAAGGACTAAACGAGAGGTGGCACACGCACACTTTTTTAGGGCTTGCGCTTCGTGCCGACTTCGCACCTTTAACCACCTCGAGTTCATGGTATATACTAGTCCACTGTATTCTTGGCACTGCGGCCCAACGCTCGCCAAACCTTTCTAAAACCAAGGAGGTTATGCCCAGCGAGTATAACGTAGCGACCCTTTCTTGTCAGATAGTGCTGAATCTACATGCTGATGTCTAGTAAGGGGGAATGAGAGACAGGGGAATTCGGCTTTTAGTTAACGCGCACGCTGCGAATTTTTTAGTGTTCAACAACGCACAGAAGAAATGTCTCACCGGCACCACCTTGGAGGTCAAAATGTAAGACTGTTTACACACTACGACTATTACTACGTCTACGAGGGACGAACGGGTGCCGCTATAAGAAGCTTTGCCCCTAAAATAAATGAGCTCTACACTCTCATGCATTAGAGCGTCAAAAGCTACTGAGTCTACGCGTAAACTCTTACTTACATGCAGATATTGCATGCGGAGATTACATGCAGAGATCTTACATGCAGAGATTGGTTAGCCAATCTCTGCAGGTACAACGACATCGATAATGTCATCAAGGAGAGACGTAGGACTGCGAAATGAGGCACAGGGAGGAATATTGTGATCGAAGCTCTGGTCACCATGTAGGTGGCTAGTGTTCACTTTCACAATGCTATAAATGGGGAATCACATCGTCCAGAGAGATTGGAAAACGCTTCGGCCAACCCGTTCTTTCAGAATAGGCATCCGGATTATCATGTGGGGAGTCCGAAATCCCGAGCATGAGTGATTTACCGCAGGCCTGCGAGAAGCGACAGTCGACTTTTTTTGTCGAGGTGGTTATGTACGGTAAGCCTAAAACATTGGGGCTGGAAACAGTTGAGGGCAACGGGCCATCACGCTCCTACACCTCGGTCAGGTTGGCTGCGAGTGCAATCGGAGAACAGGTCGCCATAGCCCTCGGTCATTGCCAAACACTCATGCACCAGAGGTCTTTGGAGTACTTGAATAGGGCAAGCAAGCGCGAAAAGCAGTGTCAGTTTTCGAATAGTGAACAAAGCCGGGCACTCACTCCATGCCTTGATTTTCCGCTGATGGGGGTACGTATGTTCAGCAGATGGTACCAAATCTCAATGACCTCGTCTATTACCACGTGCAAAATCTCACACACCGCGTTGACGTAGAGGTTTTATGAGACAGGATAAAATCTAGCACGGTAATTTTCTTCTAACTTTCTATGAAATTCACAATCACTCTCGTTTAATAGAAGGGCCTATTTTTCTTCTCTTCCGATGTAAGATAGGAGTAAAACTCAACCTTCTACCCACTCATTTTGTTCGCTTGAGCAGAGCTCTCTCAGCTGCGTAGCGGCTGTTGCTGCAGAAGGGAGTGGAAGGTTGGCTGCTTGGTGTCCATCTTGTCTCGTCGTGGCTGATGCTGATGGTCAAGGATGGATACCAGAGCCTTTATATACATTGCAACAACTCGACTTTATGTACAGGAACTTATGTAGTGATATAGAAGACTCACCATTGGAACCGTCGCATGTTGCCTCGGCAGAGCCGATAGTGCAGAGCACTCATTGCTGCAACCAGAATGATCGTGAGGGCCCCACCACGGTGGTCTAGTGGCTAAGGTACTCGGCTGCTGACCCAAAGGTCGCGGGGTCGAATCCCGGCTGCGGCGGCTGCATTTCCAATGGAGGCGGAAATGTTGTAGGTCCGTGTGCTCAGATTTGGGTGCACGTTAAAGAACCCCAGGTGGTCGAAATTTCCGGAGCCCTCCACTACGGCGTCTCTCATAATCATATAGTGGTTTTGGGACGTTAAACCCCACATATCAAGAATGATCGTAAGGACTCGGGAGCCAGGTTCTAACCCCTCAATTGGCCCTCCCGATTCTCCTCACGGCCAATCCAAGCAACTCAGTCCGTTTATTGGACAGACTGAACACTTGCTGCCGTCCTCTCCTCTCGCTCTCCTAATCAAGCACTCGATCCCTCGCTCGAAGAGAGAGAGAGAGACGAAAGGACCGGCCTGCACACTGCATTCCGCAAACCTTGCGAACGCACACAATGATGGCGCCGCTCGACTGCAGGCCTCCTGCCATTACTGCGAGATGACTACGCTTTCCAGCGTGACAGCCATCCCGCGGACTCTAATGCCGATGAATGGATGTCTATATACACTGTCCTCACGTCGCCCGCCGGCAATCCGCTGGTCGGGGACCCCTTGCTGGTTGTTAAAAGTGGCGACTGACCGCGGTTCGCTAGCCAGAACGGGCGCGCTTACGCCGAGATTATCGTCTCCCAAGATTCGGCTCTTTAGGAAGCGCGCCCTTTTGCGACTAAGAAGACTCGCTACCCTGGCCTGTGACGCGAGACCTTGCAATAGGTATGAGAAAAGTACATTTACGATGCTCCAGATAGGCTAGTTCTCTTCGCGAGGCTTTTTCAGTCGTATCTCTACGAAAATTGATTTAATATGTTTGAACGGTAAAGAGAGTATTTTTCTTTAGCGCACATGCTTTGGCAAAGCCTCTCGTTTCCTAACATCCTCTATCCCGTGATGTCAACTAGGAATAGCCCCTGTGAAACCGAAGACTCCCGTATTAAATATAGTCAATATGGAAAGCCCAAAAGGAAGACTGAACACTATGGTGTTCCTGTATAAACTTGGACGACGCCAGCTACTCCAGGTCAAAAAAAAACTGATTGCCTTCCTGCTGGCAGACAGGCAGGCACTGCTAAAATGTCATTTTGGCATCAGGACCAAATAAAATGCTCAATATCAAGTGCTCATTATATGTTGGAGCACTTTGCAAGAAAATATAACTTAATTACATAACATTAAGCTGCCCATGCTTTCGTCTTTTTTTCTTATACCTTTCCCTACGCACAAATTCTTAATCACCTGCTGTTCCTTGTACATTTTCATGACAATATCACAAATGACAACGCTGTGAGATTCAAAGGCTAACGCGTTACAAGGGTAATATACTCAAAATGTGGTCTGGTGCTTACAATGTACATGTAGTAGTTTTTTTCTGAATTCAGAATTCTTTAATAAGGCATCGACGTATCACTATGCGTAATATGCGAGCATAAGACTCTACGCGTTTAAAAGCAAAACATAACTTAGCGGCAAATTTCTTTAAGGTGATGTCTTCTTGAGTTAAATTGCTTTATTATAGCATGACAGAACGCATAAGGGACAATCCAATATTTCATTGCAGTTTTATAAAAGCACATAAGTTAACATTGATCACATTAACTAACAGGAGGTAGGACCAGGAGTGTGGTAGCGTATACGAGATGCTTCTCCTAGGCTGTCTACTTTCTCCTCAATGCTGGCTCATGTGCATATCTAATCTTGGTTTTAAATCCGTATGATTTCTGGTATGTCGTACAAAGCACAACTATATTTCTGCTTAAAAAGTTGTGCTATTGAAATTGCCTCACGACCATCTTAAAAGATACAGTGTTACGAACATGAGATTTATCGTATGATGAATTGTTACATATTGCAAGTGTTACACTGTGTTCAAGAGTTCGAAATTCGGACCAAAATAAGAATTCGTGTCATTTTTACATCTTAGAAGTTTGAACTACAGCAATTCACCTACATGAGACAGTGAATCCTTAGTATCTTTTGTGAAACAATTCTGTAAATATAGTTGGCTGATAGATTTATAAGACGTGTTCCGCTAAGCAGACACATTCATGCATAAGAAGGTGAAATGCTTTGCTGATCCCGCAATAAAGCTGTGTTTTTATTTCTTGCTATGTTGCAGGCATTTATGTGGGTATTTTTGAGAGGAAGCATGGCTGTGCGCAGTCCCCTATCGACAGCCGCTGCCATTGAAGTCTGCGGCAGTCCGTACACCGTCTCTATATGCCTATTTCTAGTCGAACTTGTCAATGGCGTCGACTTGTATCAGCTGAATGTGGTATGTTTTGCACGAATACGCGAAATAGAGTGCGTGGTACACGCAAATCAGATATTACCTTAAGGGAGCTTTCCCATGAGTATACCTTATGGCAGCCCTCATAATATTCACGCCTCAAAGCATAGATATAACGAGGGCTGCTATTTACATGAACAAACTTACGCGACAAAAAAAAAAACAACAAACGCTGCTATTGACAAAACATACACTAGCATCAGCTTCGAAGTATAAAGTGTCGACAATCACTCACAACCATACTCATATCAAATCAAATTATATTTCAATATTAGTACAACGTTGAGCACAATGAAAAAAAGCCAGCAAGGCTTGAAAAGTTCAATGACCTCAATTTTCTAGGCAGAAACAAGCAACAAATGAGAAGAACAGTTCACTACTGAGACAAAAATTATAAATTTTATTTAGTGACACAGCTCAAATTACAGATAATGCAAACCTATAAATTTTACTCGTCATTATACATACTGAAAAGCTCAAAAGTAAACAAAGTAAAATTTCATTTGAGCAACGATACAAAAGTTGATGGACAAAATACATAAAAACGTGGAAACAGATTTTTTATAAAAAAATATGTACCGCAATACGGGCACTATATCTTAGGTATTTGCAGAGACAGCATATGCTCACTATTTTAAACAATCACATAAAATGTTAGTTGACGGTATTCATGTTTAAATGATAGGGAAGTTTATACTATAACATCTGGTAGGTATAACTTGTTCTGGACCTTGGTAGTGTCCATATTTCTCAGCTCACTGTGTTGATTGTTTTATGTTTTGACATGAAATTGGAAATGTGTTTTAAGGTGTCGTTTTTTCAAATACTGTTCTCATAACTTCTTATAACAACATTTTAATAAATGATTGGCATCAGTAGCAGATTCATTTTTTTCGAAAAGAGCACTCGTTGGCTTTAAGTACATAGCGTTTAGAATGCAACGCACAGATTTTTTTCTGCGTGTATTGACCGTAATATTGTTAGTAAATGTAGTAGTTTAAGTGTAATAGTTTAGTAGTGTACAGTAGTTTATGTAAGAGAGAAACAAGTATTTATACAGTGCAAGTTTAACACCATCTTTTTTAACAAGTTTAACACCATCTAGTTTAACAGTATTCTAGTTAGTTGGGAGAGTGTACACACCGCCATTTGCAGGTAATCTTTTCATAATAAATGTTGCTCAAATATGACTCCAATGTGTTTAAAAGAGGGTAAAATTGGCAGAAGAGAGTCTTTGAGTTGTAAACTCGTCGAAGGGTCAATGTCTCAATTTTTTGGTCTAAAAGGTACGGCTTTTGTTTTATTTACGTTGATTTTCAATGAGTTTGCTGTGCTCTAAGATGAATGTTTTGATAGCACTACGTTGGCTTTAATTATGACATCCTCAGCATCCTTCGCAGTTACAAAAATTGTGGTGTCGTCTGCATATATAATAAATTTTGCATCATAACCAATGCCTCACCCAAGTAAAACTTTTAGTATACCGGTAGCTTTACATAACTATTGACCCACACATTGGTTCATGCGGTCATAATATCTTGACATCGCCTACTGTACGTATTCCAGGATTCTTCTTCGGCGTACTTGAACAAAAAATATTATCAGAATAGGTCGTAGTCTATTGGTGTACTGTAGTTACTGATAAACGAAAGTGGAATAGTGAACTAGCTGACATGTTGGCGTAACACGTTGCAAAAAAACAGCCCAAAAAAGATAGACCGTGAGAGACACACTCACTACCACACGTGCGATTGTTTGCGTGCTTCTTTCTGTCCACGTTTTTCAAATTATCCACCCACATTCCGTTACCCTACTAAGACATATATAACTCTTACAGTAAACTCACCAGATATTTATTTTAGTGCAAATTACAATTACGTCCTCGCACTGTGTCGAATAGGTCACAGGTACATCGAAGTCCCCTAAAAATCTTAGCTCCTAAAGGAGAATTAGGTAATACATAAACACTCACAGCAGCTAAAAATCTATTGGGAGGAGTGAAGAAGATTCAGAGCCCAATTTATTTAAACTCCTGTTCGAAGAAAAGTGGCAATATACGTCCATGCGAGCACTGTAATGATTTCAAATGGTGTACATTAGGAAGCTGCATAAACTCACAAGGTAGAGTGAGCAAATACAGCCTGATGTAGTGGAAGCTGCGATGATCATAACATTTCAAACTGTTGAAGGTGTTTCATACTAAAGTTATTCCAACTAACACTCATGTATCGCGGTGCCTTAGGCCACCACAAATTATTTAGAAGCCTATTCCTCAGTTGTCATGACCCTGATTTCAAAAAGGTGATTATTCTTCGTTTTATTTCTAAGCACAGGAGTGCATGAATATATACATGAAGATTTCTCGTGGTACCAGGTGCACTGGTTAAGCAGGCTAGCTTCCGGTTTGTTCTACATTAATTCTTAGCCAAATGAATTGCCTTTGCTTTAGTTTGGCGTTGGCCACTTCCTTTCAAAAATAATATGCGACGTTATAACTACGCATGCGTGATACTAGGAAAAGTAATATACCAATCTCCCACTTCCTACATTCTAGCAAAGAAAAGCACAATTGCTAGCAGACGATTCTCAATATGAGATAAAAAAGCAGTCTGAGTGAATTAACGTGTTTGTATTTGTAGAGGAAAGAGCAGTTATTCAGATGCTCTTAAACTTCCGGATTAAAACACTTTCCACAATTTTAAATAAGTCAGTGGAAAAGAAGTGATTGGGTTCGAATGGGAAGAAACTGGGCTAGTTCGTTGTTGAGCAATTTAAAGCGGTCTTTATGGCATGTCCCATCTCTGCTCATTCATATAAAGTGTCTGATTTGCTTTGCCTGTTATCATCGAATGAACACATCAGCAGAGTATCGATCACAGCAAGCACTCACGTCTCCCTTAAGGGAACCGTGAGTTGTATGCGAAGAAGCAACGAGTCAATTTTGTAGTTTTGTAAATTCTTTCTCGTATTTCATTATTCCTGGTAGACCGTTCATTTTTCATATATACCTTAAGCTCTGCAGAACATTTCCGCTTGAGTATAATGACCTTGTAATACGTAATGTATTGGGTCAATGGTTCTTGATGAAAAGATTGTAGCTTGAAGTTTGAAATGCAATGTCAAGGCACGTTTCTACGATGGTGGCAGGATGCTTGTAATTGTACTAAATGCACCAGAGAGCGAAACGGGACACCATGTGTTGCACTAACCAGTCGTCATTTACAATGCCCACGTTAGAAGTCCCGGTGAGTACAAAAGGGCTGTCCTAGTGTTGAGTTTCATAAATTCGTAGCCCGCGAAGCTGGTGTGGCACGGAAGCATCGCCCGGAGGCGGCCGCCCATCGGCACTGGCGCTGCTGAGCGAGCGTTGCTACCGCTGCATCTCTAGCGTGCGCATCTAGTACTAGCGGCAACACCGGAGGGACAAGCCTTCTCCATAAGCTGCTTCACATGTAAAATTTTTGATTACCCGTGATGAATGAAAGCTGTTAACGCCCAACCACGTTCACGTCATTTTTCAGTGATGGTGATGAGCCACAGTGACGAGTGACAAGATTTATTGTCGTGGACGACAATCTGTTCCCGTCGCTTGTCACGTCACCGGCTTACGAGTAGGTAGAAAGGTTCATTTGCCACCCATAACTAAACACCATAGTTTGCGGCAACATTGCAACACCCTCATCCTTGCTTCAGTCGCAATTGCCTCTTGATGCTTGTTATTCAGGTGTACATAATGGAGAGCGAAATATTGGCTAGACTAGATAATTCACAGCCTCATCAAACGCCGAGAGTAAGGCGTTGGCTCTATTTAGTCGTTAATCTTGTTTTCGGGGGTTACCTAGGGTGTTTCTGAGGTATCTTGCTGCATTGTCAACATTGTAACTATATGAGGAAAGCCTTGTCAGGCAGTGATGTTAGATTTAGATTAGAACAAATTCAAGGATTATATAACTTAGGAAGTTGAAGGAAAGAAGAGATATCGTAACAGGTGAATATCCACACTACAGCAGATAATACTGTCGCAGTTGAACAAATTAATGAGAGAAAGGAAAGTTTCAAAACGTTTTATAATTACCTTAACTTCCACAATGCAATAATAAATCTGCCATGTTGCCATTGATCTAATTCAGCTTCAGTTTTAGTTTATTTACTTTGATAAAAACATACATGCTTACGTAAGTATACAAAAGGAGGTCGCAAAGCACCTGGCTAAAAGGGGACCTCCTGTCAGAAAATGTGTTAAATATGCACAAGTAAAGAGCAACTCTGTCAACAACCTGGAGTAAGTTAAATAATAAATGTAATACACACTCAAAATGATCAAAATTTAACAGTCATGAGTACAACAAAAACAATGCTTGAACATTTTAAAAAATTTGAATATTTGAAAGAACTTCCAAGTCCTTTTTCAAAGTTCGCCTGCGTGCATACGATAGTCTTCAATCAAGAAGGAATGGCAAAATGTCACTCATACTATTTGCGATGTTATGAACTTGTGCTTGCTCTCGTCGTGACGCGACCGCATGACGAAACCCGTCTGTCAATGTCGCTCGTGGACACCACCCGAAATTAGCGTGCATAAGTTTAGGCCTTTACAGAAATTTGTCGCGTAAACGCTTTATCTTAGTTCATTCCGACGAGCACGCCTGATGCTATACAAATGGGAAATAATGAATGGGGTATATTAGAGGGTACCTAAAGGATCTGCGCCACGCGTGCATCCAAAGTGGGGGTCGCCCTCTACCGCTCTAAATGTCTCAGTCTTGTTTTATTTCTGTGCACTACAAAGTGTGGCGCGTAGACTGAATTGAAAGATCAAGCATTTACTGCCCTCGGCGTCTGGCTTTCTCGAGTTTCTTTTTGTTAAAACCCAGCTTTTACTACTGTCTTACGAATACTGCGATAGCACTCTCATATAATGCACGTCATTCGTGAAAGGTTAGAGCCGAGGCTGCGGAGCTAACACAATGAGTATAAGTGTTACCACATATTTTCCGACGATATGCGCGAGGCACATGACGATTATATATGTGTGGCCTAAATACTTCCCAGATGCACAATTTTTTTCTATAGTGTAGCACGTGTTGACCCCCCGTAGCAAGGAAACGTCCGATTGAGACCCCACTGATGGTTTTTTACAGCAATCGGCTAGTAGCAGCAATTCGTCGAGTAAATGAGCATCTGTGACGTGGATGCTGTCTGAGGAAGTGTGTGTCAGCTTGTGGCAAACTCGAGCTTGTTATATGAGTTTTCCTTGTCATGAACTGCTGCATTAGAGGGTGTGAGCCCTTTACAACAATGTCTGCCTTATGCTGTATGAATATTTTCACCAAGAACGCTCAACTTTTCAAAAAATTTTTAACATCTAGCAATTCTACTTTTACATTCAGACGAGATTGCCTGTGTACGCTGCCCACAGCCCTTCGGGAACATCCGTAGACAACGTGTACCATTTCGCACAGGTAAGTTTTATTATTGTTGTTTTGTTAAGCCCATTGTATACCGTATTGATCAGAATTTTTCTACAGCAGTTTAATGAGGCCTGCTATGAATATCGTGACATTGAAGAGGTTCCGGACACTAGACACAACGTTACGAGAACCTAAAAAGGAAGATAAATTTTTCTACTCTCCACTAGAATAACACAGCAAAAGTGTTCATAAAGCCTGAGCGGTCGAGTGCCACAGATTTCACTATGACAGTAAAAATTAAAACTTTACTCTATTCGCTGTCTATATAGCTAGATAAACAAGTGTGTCCCATTTTGCTCGGAACAAACCCACATGGGAAATTCAATATTATCTTTCCTGTACACCGTTTTCCGAGTCGCATTTGGGTATGTTATGCTGATAAAACAAAAATAAAGAAATCTTATGTAGCCCCGCCACAGTGGCCTATTGACTAAGGTACTCGGCTGCTAACCCGCAGGTCGTGGGACTGAATCCTGGCTGCGGCTTTTGCATTAATAATGAAGGCGAAATCGGTGTAGGCCCGTGTGCTCAGATTTCGGCGCACGTTTAAGAACTTCAAGCGGTCGAAATGCCCGGAGCCCATCACTACGGTTTCTCTCATAATCGTATGGTGGTTTTGAAACGTTAAAGCCCACTTATCAATTAAATCAGAAATCTGAAGCAAGTCTTCGTAATTCGCAAGTGAAAAAGGTGAGGTTCGTTGGGTTTGCTTATTAAACGAAAATTATCTGCGAATTACAAACAGAAATGAAACTCAAGTTCGAAATGTTTCCTTTCTTTAAGGTGGTCGTCGGTTTATGCAGTTACTTACACTTCTATTTGAGAATCAGACAATAGATGGAGGCGCAATATTGGAGCCCCATGAACTGTGTGACATCAGGTCGGGTTAGTGAACACAAGATGGTAGAATTTTCACATACCTCTACTATGGGGTCTCTCTTATTCAATTTATGGCTTTGGGATCATATGACAGAATTTTCAGTAGCATTTTCCAACGCAAAACTTGATATAATTCATGTGTATTTTTAATAAACACCCAAAACAACCTATCAGGTTTGCTCCAGTTGAGTTTGTTTCACTGAAGAAACTTGCCTCATTTCTTCGTACGCGACCATATTCTAACATAGTTGATGTGTTCACGAAGGCAGCCGTCGGAGTTATCAAGGTTAAACATTTTATGTTGACCAGGTTACGACCGGAGAGTGGAAGGTCAAAATACATATGATTCTCAGTGTAAACTGATAGCACCGTGGACAGTTGTCGGTCGTCGAGTAAGCGTACCTCCGGTGGTACGCATGTCTTCTTATAAAGCTAAGATCAAACTTTTCAGCATCGTCATGGATACTCACGTAAGTTCTCTAATAATATTGACTAGTCACATCCTGCCTGCAATCTTAACGGAATGCTCGCAAACAGTCATAAAGCTTCCTAATAACGGCATCATGGTCTGAGAGGAGGTTTGCAAACACTTTTTGTCGCTGAAGCTCGAACAAAAGAAAATAAAGTGGAGAAAACTTCGTAGCAATACGCACATGCAACGATGGAAATGCTGACTTTGAATATTTGCGAGTACTGTCTTTTTCTCGAACTGAAAACCCTCTTTTTTCGTAATTCACTTTGCATGCGAAAATCTAAAACCTCACAAGCTGTTCAAACTGTGATTTAAGTTTGATTAAAAATATTTATTTTCAGAGACTGTGGACATCAATTACTTTTGGACATAACATTTCAACACAACAGAACACACATACGCACACAACAGTGTTACAGAAAAGTCTCTATACGGGTGTACATTACATGGTAAAGAAAAAGCATCAAAAGAATAAGGTGTTCATCACCGTGTAACTAAAATCAGTTTGCAAAACCTGAGAAAGCACTTATTGCTGCACTTTATACGCTTAAGTGCTCACGTTTCTGTGATTGCTGCATTATTATCACACCCTCGTCCTACGTGCATTCTTCATTTCAGCTTATACGGTGCAAGTGCTTTCGGAAGTTCAATCATGGCCCTTATCTTAACAAAATTGTGTATGGATCAGTGAGTACACAATTTTTCGAATAATAGAACAAACTACGACAGCTTTGCACTATTCAATTCAAGCTCTAAGCCTGTTCGTTGACCTTTATTCATTCTGTTTACTTCTTTTTGTTTCTCCCATCTAATTTCCTGTTTTCTAGGAGAGTTTAGCAGGTACCTGTTTCTTTCTGATATTTTGACTTTATATGCTCTCTTGGACTTTCTATTTAATGCATCCAGATGTTCATCTCTTTCTCCTTATTTCTCTCTTTTTATTTCTTGCCTATTTCTTTATGTGTAAATATATTTCTAGTAAAGAAGTAGAAATCAGAGGGATCGTTCTTCATTGAGAGACACGATATTATTTAGAAATATAAGTGGAAACAATTGAGAACTCCTCTATCTGTGTCCTTCTCTGTCAATCTTTTTATGTCTTTATTGTACCTATTTCTTTATAATTACCTGTTTGTGTTTTTGAGTATCTATGTTCACTTTCTGTCTCTTTTTTTTTGTTCACTTTCCCTCAGTTGTTTCACGAGCTCCACTTAGCCGATCAGAACTTTGGTGTGCCGTGCGCACTTGCTCTAGTCGGTAGTGACGCTTGCCCGAATACTCTGACGCATGCCTACCTAAGGAATTTCGCACGATGAAGCAGGAGTTACCAAAAATTTGAACAGTGTCATGGTTGAAACTACGAGCTCCTAGTTTCACTACGTGATGCCCAACTCTACTAACAAATTGTATAATTCCAAGTATAAATGACTGTGTTAAGAGAACTTTTCATTAGGCGAGTTTGTGTTTTGCACTTAATTTAGTTTCACAGTTTTACACTTGATTTACACTTGATTATATTAATTTAACAATATTGTACAGAAGAGAAAAGATGCCGTGTATATACAATTAGTTGGCAGTTGTTATAGAACCATGACTACTGTTTGAGCACCGATTCGTTAAATAATGAAGGTGAATAAATCTATTTAAAGAATTAGTTAATTATATGTTACTTTAACCAACGGGGAGCATGAGAATAACTATGCCTTGAAAGCATGACTCTACCGAAAGCATCACAAACAGCATCGATGCCACATTAAGAAATAATATTATTCTATGCTAAAAATTCTGAATTTTTCGTTGTTAGCAGTTACAGTTGTATAGCTTGTCACTCATTAAATTCTACTTTTGTACGTGTCTATCAACAAAGTCGCAAAACAATAAAGTTCTAATTTACCTGGAAAAACTAATTATAGGGGAAACCTTCACTTCTGTTTTGCGATGCTGAAACAGTATTTAAATATTTTGTATTATTACTCTCACACTACTTACTCTGCTTTGTTTCATAAGCAATATTCATCACGTGCAAAGCAATTATTTCATAAGCGTTGTATAGACAATTTTTGAAATATCGAGAATGTTTGCCGTTACCGAAGCCTTTTTTCATGTACAAAAAGCAAAAAGGGTAGTGTGGGCAAAATCAGTCAGAAATTAATAAAAGGTAAAAAAACGATGCAGTGTTTGCTGGTGCCGCAACAGAAAACAATTAACAGAGTTGGTCTTGCGTCATAGAAATAGGTATAACACGAAAGAAAAAAACTTGCCTCAAAGTGCTGCACAATGTCTCCTAATGCCTGACAGCTATATCACTATTCACCTTGAACGACTCTCCTTAACGCTTAGTGATACTTCTCCATTGGGGCGACTAACGGCCATGATCGTGGTGGTGGAAAAACCATCAAAGAATAAACAAACCTCTGTGCTCATTGACGTTTGTCGTAGTTGTAGCTTTTAATGGCGCTAAGAGAAAGGGTTGAGACAGCAAGGAGAGCCGTCACTGAATGAACACCGAACTTGGGCTAAGGTCGCAAACCGTTCACATGTTAAAGTACTGAGTGTCACTGCCGGAGTAGGGAAAAGTGCAACGCACCTCACGTGTGCGCTGTTGACAGTTGGCCAGTCCCAGCTTTTTGCGCCGTGAGTAGTAGCTGGAAGTTACAGTCAGGCGACGTAGAGATATTTTTCGTATGAATGTAGTTGAGTGAGGCCGACGCTAGGGGTAATGTATACACGTGGTTTTGTGTCAACGGATAAAAAACTGGACTTGTCGTACTAGAAATGCACCGAGAAAGAGGCACGCGTAGAAACAGCGCATATAAAAAAAATCGTAGTCATAAATATCACGATATTGATGCAGTATTCAGTGTGTCATGAGCACTGCGAAAGGGGGGTGGTATGTTTAAAAAGCGCGATTGTGGATCATCCAGCGTATGCGGCCGTGGTGCAGTATATAGCTGTAGCGTGCCCAGCCTCTGTTTTTCGTGGATTCGACTGCTTTTAATACAAGAATTTCGATTTCTTTCTGATCAGTTGTATTCCTGGGCGTTCTTTCCGTGACAGAAAGACGTCAATGAAGTCTTGGTGAACCTCAGCAAAAGATATTTTTGTGTTAAAAAAAAACCTAAATGGTCCGCATAGCGTCATTTAGCGACTTCGCAGGAACCAGAACTGAAAAGATGATAATCAGTCAATGAAACGAAATCTGGTTCTTGCCTCAATCTACAATCGCCTATTTTTTAGTGGCATGCAGAAATAGTGGTGGTGGTAGGAGGCGGCGTTTACAAAACTTGAAAACTGAAATGGGTCATATAAAAAATATATTCCACATTTATAAGAGAGCAATAAACCAATGAGTGATACGCAACACTAGGGCCCGAAAAAAGCTGAAATGCCGAGGCCATAAGAAAAGCGTTTTGTTATTCTGAAATGCGTGTATTAGTGTTAGAAATGAAAATTGTATTCACGTGACAAATGCGCGGCACCGCACATAGAATGGTATAGAATACAAGGTATGTACCTACACAAATAGGGATAATCACCATATATTTGAGTTACTTCAAATGCTTAATAATGAGGTGCACGACACATGATTTCAGTGGTATTCAAACTGTAGAGCACGTGTTTTGTAAAAGCAGCTACTTTTTCACGCAAAGACGTGAATTTATATTTAAGAAATCCAATATGTATGCGTCTTATGGCAACTTTTCCTAGTCTGATGCAGTAGGCGCACAAGTATTTGCATGCATTTCTACTCGCAGGTTGTGCCACCCAGTTATGTCGTGTCTAATGTAAGAGTGCCTGTGGCCCTCTACCATAGCGCTGGTGACATCTATGCTGTACCCAAAGACGTAGCGCGGCTAGAAAAGGAGCTGCCAAACGTCGTCCGAAGTATTCAAGTGGCTGACAAGCATATGACTCACTACTATTTCGCACTTGGAATGCACGCAGCAGACATGGTGTACAATGACATGCTTGAGCTTATGGCAAAATATCGAGGGGCGTGAAAGCTGCTTCAAGCTGTACTTGTGTGCACCAAACAGATAGGTAGCTAGTGTAGAATATCGACTCATATAGGCAAAATCTTGTTTAATGCAAAATGCAGAGCGAAGGAGAGCAAGAGAAGACAGGCCCCACAAGGACTATGTCGCTTCTGTGTCTTCCACGTTTTGCCTTTTTTTTTTCGCGGCACATACTTTGTACATATTATGGCATATATTATTTCATGAGCCCACTCTTCTGAGGCATCCAGTGACTGCTTAGATCTGGGGTATTTTTTCTTCCCAGAAAAATGACAGATGCAAAAAGAACAATTTCCTAACTGATTGAAATGTGTATCGTAGCACTTATAAAACAGATTTTTTTGGTTAATGAAGTGAAACACAACTGTTATTTTTTTATTATGAACCAATGAAATGCATTTAGGCACAGAATACATTCCATCATATTCTCAGTATACTCTATGCGTTTCGTTAAGGCTAAGGAAAAATTTTTGAAAGGAAATTTGGATGTTATACTTTAAGTTCAAAGCACGTCAGTATGACAGAATCCACAAGATTTTTGATATCTTCAACATATATTCTCAATTATTAAGATATGGGTGATAGGGGAGGGGGGGAGTATATTGATGTACTTTAGATTCATTAGAAACCAATGAAATGTATTTTGGTATAGAATACATTCCTTTATATTCTCAGTATGTTGTCTGCGTTTTTTTAAGCGAACCCACAATTTTTAAACAAAATTTGGATATCATAGATTAGGTTCAAAACAGGTCAGTATGACAGAATCCGCAGGCATCAATTTTTGATGTCTTCAGAATGTCTTCGTAATTATGAAGGTACGGTTGTTAGTAGGAAGTATATCTTACCACTTTAGATTCTAGCTACACATTATTTATTGCTGTTCTACGACTTACTAAGGAACTACTTGATCCAATCTGGAACAAAAGTGTGATGCGCGTTTTGATAACCATCAAAAACGATGGTGCATACAAGCGCCGAAAGTGCAAGTAATTCTTATTGCAAAATATAACACGCGACGATAGTCTCAGGGTGGCTTAGTCGAAGAAAAAAAGGAGGAAAGTCGAAAGAAATTCAGCAAACACTCGCAAAACAAACAACGCGAAAACGAGCATACACACACACACGTCTACCTTTGCCCCCCCCCCCCCCAAGCAGATGGGCGCGTGTGCACAGGGACAGATTTTAGGTGCACATGAACGCAAAACCATGGTTTATTTACGTTGTGAAAGTGTGAATGGTAGTTTCACTGAGGCTTCTTGTACCACTATTCAAGTTATATGTGAGGTTTTCCTTTTTTTATTTGACTTCGCTGTTTCCTCTCTCATAAGAGAGAGCAGCTTGTTCCACGAGGAAGACTGCGCTCTCTACACAGTCTGCATTTCTAGAAATCAAAGAAACAAATTAAGGAGCCTCGTTTCGTGGACATCGATGAAACACGCAGATGGTTGCGTTCTTTCGTCGGGCTAACACATTTTCTTTAGATTTCCAGTTTTTTAGTTATGTTGGATCAATTCTCTTCATTAACCACTTTGTGTTGACATTTGATTTGGTTGTAAAGTGGCATTAAATTTTAACCCGATTGCGTTAGAGAGCTTCTTTCACTGAAATTCCGGAGTCGGCGTTTGATTTGGCATCGGTGTTATGGTTGTGAGCGAAAAATCATCATCTTATGCGTGACCCGAAGCCGAAAACAATGCACATAAAAAAATAAATTTAAAAAAATCTTGGAGCAGACTGGGGACCAAACCAGGGTTGTTTGCGTCGAAGTGATGATGGAACCCGGATAGTTTTCATGGCAAGCGACTCATCTACCACACAGCCACGCCCGTGCTTGTGAAAACAGTGAAAAGACGTTTATCTACTTGTAAATACAGTGAAAGTAGCTTTCATGCTTCACTAACACACGCGTCCTGGGGCTCTATATGTAGGATCAGCCGAGTTTCACGAAATCGGGATATTCCCCAGCTCTGGCGATACCCCTTTATGAACGAGCCAACAGTACGAAAAGTCAGACCCACCCCTCAGCACGCTGCAATTTCATTGGTTACGATAGGACCAGTCACCACTTCAAGGATGGTCGACAAAGTTTGGCGGTATTTTGAAACCACAGGCGTCATCTTTTATTTGTTTGTCGTTCCACTGAGTGCAGATGTACAACCATGCAATAAAAGTGTCAGAAACTTTTCATGATGATATTTTTTAGAAGGGGGGGGGGGGGCTGTTTAAGTTTATTTTGAAGCTTTTAATACTTGCACCAACTCTGCTTGAGAAAACTCGGCATGGTGGCCTCAGAGAACAGTACTGCCCGAGCATTTTACACCATTGCAACGGCGGCTAAATCTGAGACCACGTGTTGATCTGTACATTCAAGCGCGCTGCTCCGCCGGTGCGCATTGTCTTTGTTGTCATCCCAGTTAGCACCCAAGCATGTGCGGCCAGCTAATTAGCTATTTGGCGGAACGGTATACTTCGTAAGTTAGGCCAGGACATGCTATGACTAAGCCTATTACGCCAAGTCACGGTAGATGCCCAGGTAGTTATGCCACATCTTAAGAAGACCGTGCTGATGCCAAGTGAAGCTAGAACCTGGCTAACTAATGCTTGCGAGTTGATGAACGATGCTAATTAACGCGATGCTAAATCTGAGTACGCTAAATCATGATAATTTGCCCTTACTAAGCCTCACCTCGGTGGTCTAGGGGCTAAGCTACTCGGCTGCTAACCCGCACGTCGCGGGATTGAATCCCGGCTGCGGCGGCTGCATTTCCGATAAAGGCGGAAATGTAGGCCCGCGTGGTCAGATTTGGGTGCACGTTAAGAACCCCAGGTGGTAAAAATTTCCGAAGCCCTTCACTACGGCACTCTCATAATCATATGGTGGTTTTGGTATGTTAAACCCCACATATCAATCAATGCATTGTCCTTACTAATATTATGACAATTAGTTTCATACTAATCAGTATTACGTTTAATAGCTTTATACTGATAAAGTGCCTCGCTCATTGAGTTCGAGATAATCGCATTTTCATTGAAGCTTTAGCAATGAAGACAGGGCAGCTCAGTGTAATGGTAATTAAGCCCTAGACACCTAGTTTAATCATACTTGAAACAAAGCTAATGTGGTCTTCACTCCAAAGCCGATCACGCACATGAGTCGGTCACCAAGTTAAAAAAAAATGGCATATTCCACGTACAGAGGGGATCTATGATATGCGAAGCACGAATGAGAAATGTTGATATGTCACTTTAGAATCAGCACAACGTTACGAGGTGGAGCTAAATTATAGCGTACATGACTTTCCTGTCATGATTATCACGTTCGGATGTGTCGTTTACCTTCGTCATCAATTCACGTCACGTGATACCAAATTTAGTATATGTGGAGCCCACGCGCACGCTATGCGCGTGGTATGTTGCTATGTTCCTACATGACACGCGTGTCAGGATTATCATGTTGCACCAGTCATATAATTTGTTATCTATTGACGTCACGTAACAACAAATTTGGCATATGTGCAGCTAGCGAAACGGCTGCAAGCGCATCATGAAAGGCCCAACATACTCGATCGTAGCGTTGACGCGCGTGCACGCTATGCACAGCGACGCACCGTTAGCAAAACGCGAGCACTCTGTAGTCTGACGCCAGCCGCGACCAGCGTGCGTCGGCGCGGCCCGACGGCAACCGGCGCGAAATGCAACACGCCGATGCGTTACCCAGACAACACTGCGTCTCCCTCTTTTCAAGTCGGAGGAACGCCGGACGTGCTGAAACGCGCATGCATCAAAGCAACGCAGAACGGCGAACGCCTGCGAGTATACGGCAGGACCAGCGCCTGACGTGGCAACGCCAGCGAGACGTGACGAAATGAACGCCGGCGAGCACGCTGATGATTGATTTGTAGGGTTTAGCGTCCCAAAACCACCATAGAATTATGAGAGACGCCGTAGTGGAGGGCTCCGGAGATTTCGACCACCTGGGGTTCTTTAACGTGCACTCAAATCTGAGCACACGGGGCTACGACATTTCCGTTTCCATCGGAAATGCAGCAGCCGCAGCTGGGATTTGAACCCGCGACCCGCGGGTCAGAAGCCGATTACCTTTGCCACTAGACCTCCACGCTGGGGTGCCGGCAAGCACGCGCACCACGCCACAACGAACTGTATTGGCGTCTTGAGCCATGTTCTCACATAACACGCGCATCGTGATTATCATGCTTGCACCAGTCACATACCTTCGTCATCCATTGGCGTCACGTATTACCGAGTTTGGTACATGTGAAGCTAGCGAAACAGCCGCGAGCACATCATGAGCGTAGCGTGTAGTTATGTTGTTACATGACACGCATCTCATGTTTATCATGTTTGCAAGTGTATCATGCTTTCGTCATCCATTCACGTCCTGTAACACCAAATTTAGTATAAGTGAAGCTAGCGAAATGTCCGCCAGCGCATCATGAGCGTGGCATGTAGTCATGTTAGTACGGTACACGCATCTAATGATTATCATGTTTGCACCTGTCACATACTTTCATCATTCATTCACGTACGGTAATATCAAGTTTGGCATATGTTGCGCTAGCGAAACGGCCGCGAGCGCAAGATGAGCATGGAACGCAGTCATGTTGTTACATGACACGCATGTCAATATTTTGACGTTAGAGCTTGTCGCTTGTGTTCTCCATGTAATGATGTCATACCATACTGGTTTTGCAACATGCCATGTGACCGAAACCACCGAAAGAGCTGAAGGACCATGAAATGTAAATCATGACATTCATGACATACATGTAATATTTTAATGTTATGACTAATCAAATATAATATGTTCTTCAGACAGTCATGTTATGCCATACCAAGTTTGGTATTGATACCATTATCCAAACGACCAGGAGAGCTAAAAGTCGTAGGTGGCTAGATTAGATAGATAGATAGATAGATAGATAGATAGATAGATAGATAGATAGATAGATAGATAGATAGAT